TATATATATATATATATAAACATTATCAGGAATATATTAGTTTATCTCAGATGCCATTAAAACCGAAAAGCTTTGTGGGTTGGGGCATATTGAATATACCGATTGATTGTGATCGCGAAGCAGCACGAAGCCGAGCGCGTAAATATCCACGCTGTTTACAGTTACCTAGTTACGTTGTTAAAAAGCGAGTCGTGCCGATTGCTAGAAGGCGGTTCCTTTTACATACACATACACCTACCATAAAATGAGAACTACAATTCAAATTGACAAAGTGCGAATGTGCCTGTTTCCTTAGCTAGGTAAAATGGCATCTAACTATCGAGCAGTTAATGATAAAGCCAGGGAATGTTCTTTAACACCGCCTTGGCTCAAATATAATCTACATATGCTATCCACATTTTCATGGGGAAAAATAAAAATGAACCTCATATTTGTGACAAAAAGGTTCAAAGGTTCGACTCATGTTTGCTTAGTTTACAAGTATTTTCGAATTATCTTTTCTCTTTTAGCTTGCAGATTACATGCGGGACCAGATTGCAACAATCAGGTTAATCATGGTATTAACTGGGCATATTTAAAAAAAATCACTTGAGTAAAAGTGACGAATTCATGAGACAGTAGAACGTTACGTATATACTATTACGCGATCTGTTTCAAAATTCGCGTTATTATAGACATTCGAATTAGCGAGGGCAACGTGCAGCCTAGACAGGGACAACCAAGACCTGTTTCCCAAACTGGCGTGGGTTGCTGGACCTTCCAAGCACTTCCAATCGAAGTTAGGCATGTATAGCTGGTTCATGATGAGAGCTGTTTTATTTCGTTTTGACCACAATCGTCTTAGACTATCTGGAATTCTGCAACTCGTCCTTGTGTAATCCCACTAGGTAAGAAATTAAAAAAATAAACTAAAATGAATAAATCCTACTGTATGAGCTGCAATTATATGTTGTAAACTTATTTAAAAAAAAAAAATTAATTTTATACTGTTATTTTCGTAAATTAGTTCTTGCCTATTATTGCTTATTAGCTGCCGATTTCATAGAATCACCAAAATAATTTATCGGCGTACCTTACGCGGCCACCCTTAATAGTGGTATTTAGTGAGATCCTAGAACCGCCGAAAGTTGTGAGGCATTCTAGACATTCAGGAGTTATTTAACACCGAATTCAACTGGATATCTTTTGCCAAGTCAACAAGTAGCAATGTAAATGAAAGCTTCATCAACAAATGCTTTTACAAACAAGTTTTGACAGCAATTGATCTCACATCCCATTTCTATTAAGCACTCTCAATGAGCAGATAGTATGTCCACGCAAAACGACGGCAAGGGGCGCATGACTTCAAATGGGGTTCAGTTGAAAACTGGACGGACTCAGCTTCCTGGTTGCTCTTGCACCTCATTTTGAGTAAGCGCTCTGCTTCTAATTTGATAGAACTTCTAAAGGAAAAACAAGACTTCAGCGAAGTCTTCTTTTAGCGACCGCTGCTCTATACGGTATAAACGGCCTTGCCCAAAACTTCTTGGTCTCCAAGACTTAATTAGGGATTGAGAGATCAGTCCGAAACTATCAATTGAGCATAAGATGAACGACTTACGCCGAAAACTGCGTCTGAACTCGTTCTTCAAGCAAAATAAAACGATGAGTTCGCCACACTTTCAAGAGTTGTGTCTCTTGTATTCCAAATGAATTCGTTTATTTGTCCCGACGAAAATAGCAGAACTTGGTTGTTCTGTTGATACAGACAAGACTTGCGCAGGCATTTATTACTGTTCTAGTGTAACGAAGCAAGCTAGCAGCCAACCTCGGCCACCCTCACCAGGTTATCTGTCCCCGGGACGACGTGTAAATTCAAATGCGCTCTTCCACCTTGTACGCTTCCAGAGGTAATGGAAAAGGTCGTTAAACAAAAACTTAAACGAGACAGTACGTTTGTTTTACTATTGGCAGTGTAAAGCTCACCCCAATTACATTCAGGTTTTTCTGCATGACGTGAAATAACGCTGGATAAAGAAAATTATAACATCTCATAAATGTCATAAGCGGAGTTCATAATAAAAGAAGATTGAAAAAAATTACAAAAGAAAAGTAAAAACTACCACAAATCGAAATCAGATATATTTTCTTTAGAAATACGTTTATGCGTACAGCATATGCCATTTATTATGTATGAAACCCTAACGGAATTGAAGCCACATCTTTGCCAGGAAAGCTTAATATAATGTTGACTGCCAATGACCGTATACTGAATCGATCTCACTGAAAGAACACTATAAGCACTTGTGTGAACTTATAGGTTTTTCAACGGAACGGGCGTTATTATTAAAAACACGCTTAGAATAAGGACACGTTCGAATCAATACATCGATTTGAACTCGTTTCCCTGCCAACAGTCTGCACATGTCGATTTGTTAATATCGAGGATTTAATCATAGTTTTACACAGAGGCGACTGTTTGAACTCACCCAGCGAAAAGGGCGCGGCCAAATGAATGAATAAGGTTACAAGGGATTAGCAGATATTGAGTGTTCGCAAAAGTTACTATGTTTCTTTCATTCTATCCGATGGTTCGGACAGAAGCTAGTTCATATACTTGGTATGATGTAATAGGTGACGCTGAAGAATAGTAAAAAGTTATTCTATGCATCTTACAAGGCTAATGAAAGCCATATAAGGTTCAGGAAGTATGGAGTGACCCGTATTATCGTTTCAGACTCGACGAGCCTCACAGGTTAACACCATCGGCTAGAACCTTTTTTCAGGTAGTCACTGAATACAGCTAGTGCAGGTCACAAAAAAAAAAGATTCATTTTTTCCAGTATTTGAACTTCTATTACATGTGGGTTTTTCCCTTGTTTTAAGCAGAGGGACTAGAAAAAATATTTGAGAATCGACTATTTTCTGGAGTTATTTCGGACCCGATGGATGAATTATCTGACCAAAAGTGTAAGATTCACGCTGTTAGAAGCTTAGTTCGATTGAAAACTGC